TTTCAATTCAGTATTAGGTCAATTGTTGTTGTTCGTCTTGTTATTGTATTGTATTAAAAATTATTTCGTTTGCTTCTTTTATGATATCACGTTATTGACTAGTTATTTAGTTATAGAGCAAACACAGACTTTTTCTACTTTTAAAACTAAATTTGTTATGTTTCGATTTTGATTGTTTATCGCAAAAACGTCTCAAACTGTAACTACAACATTAAAACAGTTTTATAAAAGCATTTCTTTTTCCTTTTTCCTTTTTTTATTAATTATTGAATTCTTCGTATATAACCAAGGAAGATAGGGGAAGATAGATTTTAAATGAAATAAATTTATGTGAATGAACGTGGTTGCATAAAAAATAATCTGTGTACGTGCACTTCTCTTAAACGTTACATATCATCGTCTCAATATTCTGACAAATTCTTCAAGATGATCGTATTTCTGTTGCAAAGAATAAGGTACATATATCTACCCACCCTACCTCCCGCACACACAAACACAAACACACGCACACTCAGAAAGAGCGAGAGAGATACACAGAGAGAAAGAAAGAAAGAAACAAACAAAGAAAGAAAGAGAGAGAGAGAGAGAGAGAAAAAGAGATTTTCAAATGCTTATTCGAAATCAATTGATTGAATTGTTACATAATTCCGTTCAGAAATTCCTTTGCTTGTAAAATAATCAATATGTAAAGGAGCGTCGATGCAGCCTCTACACCGCCCTAAACCAACTAGTTGCCTTGTAATCAAGTTCTTGGACTCAAGAAACCAAGATAATCTAGATGTCTTAATCTTTCCTAATACTTTTGAGAGGCAAGATATCAGAGAGATTGGGCGACATTCCGATGCTATGGGGACATTTTTAAGCTTTGAATTTGGAACAACTGCCGCGAGTTTCCACATGTAGGGAATGTGGCCAGTCAAAAAAATAGTATTACATAAGTCCAGTAATTTCTTTTTACTTGAATTAGACAGGGCACTGATCGTTTGATATGAAATGCGATCTACACCAGGCGTTCTCATCTTCGATTTGGAGTGACAACTTTTAAGATCTAAGGTAGACACAAAATTTTCCAGAGACATGGCACATCTGTCAATAGCATTCGAACGAGAAATTGCAGTTATTTTATTTTCGATGAAAGCACTGGGGAAATTGCTGTCAAAGTTCCGTTGGGAGTGCAGATGGCAGAAATTTCATTCGAATTTGATGTCCCGCTGAGTCTGTTGATTTTGTTTCAGACAACTTTTGTTGATGTGTTTTTGTGAATTCTTTTTGAAACAAATGTAAAACTGAGTACCTTTCATTTTCGTTGTTCCATCCTGAATAGAGCATTAGCGTTTTTTTATAACACAAAATGATCATGATTAGGTCATCTCTTAAAGCGGTGCCATAGATCCATTTTGTTTTTCCACAATAACGAAAGCCTGTTGTCCCATAAAGGAAGCCCAGCTCGTTTAAAGAAGCTGTTGGACTGAGGAATAGAGAGATGAGCAGCCGTGCAAATGGACTTAGTCATAATAAAAGAACCATGATTGAATTTCCCGTTAAATGGCTTTAAATTGAGGAACAACTCGACGTGTTTGGAGTAATTAATCCAATCCGCTTTATCTAGAACGAATTTAACTTGTTTTGCCGGAGTAACAGAGGACTTTGAAAGTGTAAGATCGATTAAGATTGGAAAGTGATCACTATTCTGTAGATCATTAGAAATAGACGATGAAATCATAGGAAGAAGTGACAGAGAGCAACATGTTAAATCAATATATGAAAAGGTGTGATGGGTTGAAAAGTGCGTTGGTCTTCCATCATTTAAAAAGCAGAGATTGCGTTGAATGAAGGCCTTTTCCAAAACAGTACCACAACTGTTGTTTCCTGTTGAGCCCCAGATGGTTCCAGCTGTTAAAGTCGCCACATATAAATAAAGAATAAATTAAATTACGGAGAAAGGATTAAAGGAACCTCTACTATGCTTTTCTTGAAGGGATATAAAGGTTGGGTTAAAATCACTTGTGTGAAGTTCATCAAAGTTATTAATAAGTCCCTTAATGTTCAATTGTAGAATTTTAAAAACTTTACTTAATTCTAGTGACATGAAAACGGAGTGATAGGTAGATGATGTTGACATGTCAACGTGTCCGTCGAAAAATTTCACTATAGAAATTTTGTGTGAATTATTTGCAGCAGAATAATCGGTACTTAGATGGTTGCGTACGTATGAAGCGAATAATTTGAAATTGAATGTTTATTGTTGCATGGAGGATTGGATTCATTACAACTTGTAATTTGTTGAATGGAATTGAAATTCTGGGATATTTAGTTTATTAGGCTGTAGGATGCGTGTTGTTGATTCAATTGTTTGCAATATTTGTTGTAGCTTTAATTTTTCCATTATTAGTTTTGACGGGTGATGTATCTGGTATCTCAATACCGCTTTTGGATGATGATAGAGCAGGTTCGTCATTGGTAGTAGTTGGAGTTAAAGGCTTATTAGTCTCGACTTGCAAGGCCACAGCAGCGTAGGTATTACTCTTATTAATTCTTTGGGTTCCAGATGGATTTATTTCCCGGCAGTTGTGTCGCGCTCCGCCCTTGCTACAGTAATTTTCTGTTTGGATTTTTAGAATTTCACGCACTTGTACATAACGCTGGCATTGTTTGTCTACGGGGACAACTTTCAGCATGTGTAGGAAGATCACAGTCAGTACAAGATGGTGGATTAATGCATTTTTTAGCAGCACGACCCAGGCATTGGCAGTTTTTGCATCTCATGGGATTTGGAATGTAGAGTTCCACTTTACATTTATACCAAGCCACATCAACAGTTTGCGGTAACCGATGGCGATCATAGATTATAATGATCTTTCCGTCGTCATTTAATTTAGTGAATATATGGACTTCGGTCACTCCTTGATTGCCCATTTCGCTAACTATTCTTCCGGCACATGCTTTAAGCACGGAGCATAAATTGCGCCTCTAACTGAGTTCAGTTTTTCATGTAATTTAGCCGAAATAGGACATAAATTAGCTAATGATTTCGACTTTGTGAGGTTTTCGGTTGCGCGCGGGTTCCCAGCGAGGACAAGTAAATTCCCATCGCGTAGAATCGAGATAGAGTGTATATATGTCGTAATGCTATCTAGGGCTTTTTTTTATAGCAAAAGGACTGATTTGTGTGCTTGCATCAGTTGAAGAAATAACAACATAGTTTTTGTCCGTAGGAGTGATGTTACTGATTGGCAACACCGGAAAGACCGAACTTTTAATTTTTTTTCTTTGCGGAGATATGTCCGCTAAAAGATGAAATGTATTTGAGTTTTCATCTGGCGGCTTCGGGGCTATAATATCTTTTTGTTGTCAGTTTATTATTTAGTCATTTACGACAAAGATTGTTAACTATTTTCAATATTTTTATTTATTTTTGTTTTTAAATATAAGAAAAGAGACGTACACGGTATTCGCGATAACCAGCTTAGCAAAAAGACTGAAAAGACAGGAGCCAAATACACGAAAAGTTCAAAGCAATCTGAAAATCGCAGACGTAAGGAAAACACTTACTACTCAGAAGATGAAGCGACCAAACCAACATATACTTAGTTTGGTTAATTTTTTCTATCAAACTTTATTCTTCTCATTAAGTATCAAACATGTGAATTTTCTGCATATTATGTAAGTGATCTTTTGTAAGAATATTTATACGTGAGTAAGTGGAAAAATGTTGGTCCATTCCTCCCGAAATTCCACACGTTCATGCAGAGTGTGTGAAAAGATTATCTTTCATCGATTTTTCTCGAGAGATATAAAAAAATTGGAAATTTTTTTCTACATTACGGTTTTCAATACACGCCATTATATGTGAGTAGAATCCGCGTCCTTGCGCGGAAATATTTTAGCGTAAATATTTAGAAAAGTGTGAAATGTAGGTTAAGCATAAAAGAGACCGGTTTAAATTGATTTAGGAAATAATTTTAATTGCTTTGATATAATAAAGAATCGGTCTGGATCAATTTGATGTGATTACTGCATATTATTAATAAGCTGTTATAACCCACAAGCGATGGAAGCTATAACGTAAATTATTAACTCTTAAACTAAATTCACTTTAACTTGCCTTAACTCGATCTAATTAAGCAAAAGTTTTTTTTTTTTATATATTGGGTATGGATTAGAAAGTATGTGTATTTTTGAAGAGTACAAAAAATACGTTCGTTCTTTGTCTCAATTAACTACACGCTTAAGATACATTAATCGTTTGCAAAAATTTCAAAATAAAACCGTACAAATTTGAAAGAAGCAATTCTTATCGTAAAATCAGAATCAAATTGAATCGAATGCTATTTATAGTCGAAAATGACGATCATAGTCGGAGATATAGAGTCATTTTCGACTAATCCGTTCGTATGCAGGAGTAAAGTTGTATAGGGGTATGTGCGAGCGTACGTATAGATGGATGTTTTTTTGAGATTATTTTTATAACAGCGTTAAATATTTATAAAACTACGCAAACGTAGGTGTACGAAGCGCCCCAAGACTGAACGAAAAAAAAAAAACGCGCGAACAAGTGAATTTTTTTATATATTTTTTTTTATTTTTTTATTATTTAATTTTATTTTTTTTACTTTGATTGCAGGCTGTGGCAGAATTTTATTTTTGAAGTCTGACGTTGTTTTTTGTGTGTGCACAGCATGTGATCATTGGAATTTTTACGGTTTGGTGTAGAGAAGCATTTTTAACAAATAATAAAAAAAAAAAAAATCTCAAAAACAAAACAAAAAATATGATAAATAAATAAAAGTCGTGTGAGTGGGTTCGTTTTAAAATGCCTTTAGTTTACTTTGCAGGAACCAATTTTGTGCTACAAAGTGAAATTCGGAATACATCATCTCAGCTGCAATTTTTAAAACTTATGTATTTTACAAGTACTTGAATATATCATTACCGCTATTATCATATCATACATGATTTTGTGTGATTATTATGCATCGTAAATATATATGTATATATACTTCGTATTCCTTTTCCCAGTTTCTTTTTACGTTTATTATCACATATATTGCGCTTTACGAGCAAATTGGCTTAGCTTTGCTAAGCCGTTAACCTATAATTAAGATATTTTTTTTTTGGGATTTGCTACCCTAGATCTAAACTGCTAATTATATGTACATGAAAAGGATGACGGTTTCAGTCTTTTAAAGATGTTGCCCTGAAAATGTTCCCAACACTATCCCAACCACAATCGGCTAACAAATGGTGGTGATGAACACTCCAGTCTAGACCGCATACAAATTCCGTATGATGTTCATGGATTTCTATAGCGTCCAAGGAAACTCCAAAATCCCAAATTCTATTAAAAGAGCATAGGAAGTCGGAAGGGAAATAGAAAACCTTTGTGGGCAATTAATTTATTTTTCCATTTTTTTTACCTCGTTGTAAAATCATAGTTGGCTGCTGCCAATACTGAAGCTTTGTGTGATGAAAAAGCTAATTTCCTTACCGCATATTCTCCGGAAAATAATTCAGCAATATGATGGCGCATATTCCTTAAATCCCAAGTCCTTATTAAGCCGTCCGCTCCGCCGGTTACTAAAACGTTGCGATCGAATTGACTCCAATCCATTGATAAGATTTCAGTGTTGTGAGCTGATGTTATGGCCATTAATGGCTTACCTGAAAAATCAAAAGAATTCCATAAATTTAATAAACCATCGGTATCTACACTGGCGAAAATATTCGCCACTAATGGTGAAAATTTTGCACTATATATTAAATCTGTATGACCATGGTAAGTGGCCACAGATTTTTGACGATTACAGTCCCACAGTTTAATTGATCCGTCCCAACTGCTCGATAATATTTGATGGTAATTCCACTTTTCACTCCAGTCTATCGAGTACACTTCATTCTTGTGTTCTTTTAGACACATTACCGGTTTTTTGGGAACGTCTTTTAACGATCCATCCGAACCGTTATCGAGACTATTCCAAATTTGTAGGGAACCATCACCGGAGGCAGTGGCGGCTATATTGTTGGCGTATGGACACCAAGCAACGTCAAATAAGCCATCACTCCATTCGAAACGACATATTTCTTTGAGTCTCCCTTCTTCGACCGCATGCTGCAAAAGAAATAGTGTTCCACCACCAGCCAGACCGTAAAGCTGGCTAAAAGAATATTAACAAACGTAATTAAATGAAGAAAAACCGCTTTTTTTTTGAGAGACTTACCTAGTAGCTAGCAGTAAAAGATCGGTTTCAAGTGCTGAAAATTTAATACTGTAACCATGACGTTCAGGTGTAGTAAATGAAAGCATTTTCATTGCTATAAATGAAAAGAAAGAAGTTTGGATTAAATAAAGGATTGAAAATTATAAAAACATTTCCTATAATACCTTAATCAAAAAACCAAAACATCAATTCATAAAAGAGGCGACTTTGCTTTAATAAATAAGACCCACGCCGCAACCTCTGCTATAACTATTTTTTACAATATGTGTAGCGTGTGCACAAACCCTGACATATTTTAGTTTTTATAAGCGCGCTTAAAGCATGCAACATATTTATAAAATCCTATTAGTTGTGCAGGAGAAATTGCTTAAAAGACTTTTTCTAAGCACACGTTCCTGGACTTTAGCTTCATTTACATGGTATCCCCCGGTGCAATTTTTAATTGTTTCATTATAAACTTTTTCTATTTCCAAGCAGTCTTCCGATTGTTTCTCCGTTTTTCGGAAGAAAGAGGAAAACAAAAAATAAATTTGCAATTGTTTACTTAACCTTAGTTTACTGATATTGAAGGTCAATGCTAAGCTCACTAGAAGTTGAAAACTTGACATTTATTACTGAGCAAATTACCCTAAGCGTGGTAACATATATAAATATATAGATATGTGGTAACATATATAGAATATATTGATGTGTGTATTCATTAATATGTGCACTTACACTGGGTCGTCAACCATATTAGTCAACGAATTTTCTACGTTTTTTGACGCATGTAAGTTTGTAAAAATAACAACGTTATGTTAACGTTTGTTTCTCTTTGTGATGAAGAAAGCACCACCATCGTGTGTTACATTTTAAATCCATTTAGCGCCATTTATTGTGAAACCTTTTTAAAGATTTTGCCCTTATTTGAAAAAGGTATAAAAGCAGGTGGAAAAAGACATTTAACCGTATTTTCCGCGAACGTTGCTAAGCTTTTTGTTATCGAACGACGAAGCGGAAATAATAATATAAACGAAAATATGGTAGTTTCGGTGAAAGTTTTTAAAAAGGCTACGCCAAACGGTAAAGTCACATTTTATTTGGGGAGACGAGATTTTATTGATCATTTGGATTACTGCGATCCTGTGGATGGTGTTGTGGTCGTAGATCCTGATTACTTGAAAAATCGTCGTGTTTTCGGGCAATTGGTTACGACATATCGTTATGGGCGCGAAGAAGATGAAGTAATGGGTGTTAAATTTTCCAAGGAATTAATATTATGTCGGGAACAAATTGTACCTATCATCAATCCTAATATGGAAATGACACCCATGCAAGAAAAATTAGTACGAAAGTTGGGTCAAAATGCTCATCCTTTCACTTTTCATTTTCCTCCGAATTCACCAAGCTCCGTAACACTGCAACAAGATGGTGATGATCATGGCAAACCTTTGGGTGTGGAATATAATATACGAGCCTACGTGGCCGACTCGGAAGACGATCGTCAACACAAACGTAGCATGGTCAGTTTGGTAATTAAAAAATTGCAATATGCTCCTCCTAATCGTGGCCAACGATTACCGAGTTCTTTGGTTAGCAAGGGTTTCACTTTTTCGAATGGTAAAATCACTTTGGAAGTGACATTGGATCGCGAAATTTACTATCATGGTGAGAAAGTAGCCGCGACCGTGCAGATAACCAATAATTCGAAGAAATCGGTGAAGCTAATCAAGTGTTATATTGTCCAACACACGGAAATTACTATGGTGAATGCTCAATTTAGTAAACATGTAGCTCAATTGGAAACCAAGGAAGGATGTCCTATAACACCAGGTGCCAACCTATCGAAAACATTCTATTTAATACCGTTGGCTGCCAACAATAAAGATCGTCATGGTAACCCCTTGAAAAAAATCGTCGATCAAGAGAGGAAAAGATTTCATAAAAATTAAAATCCATTTATAGGTATTGCTTTGGATGGACATTTGAAAGATGAAGACGTTAACTTGGCTTCCTCGACTCTGGTTCAAGAGGGCAAGTCTACAGGCGATGCGTGCGGTATCGTAATATCATATTCGGTCCGTATTAAACTAAATTGTGGTACCTTGGGTGGTGAAATGCAAACTGATGTGCCCTTCAAATTACTACAACCAGCTCCAGGTACGTAAACTGTGCATTTAATATTTTGTTTTTTTATTTTTGTTTTTTATTTTTTTATTTTACGAACTAAACACTACGATAGGTTCCGTGGAAAAGAAACGTTCGAATGCCATGAAGAAAATGAAATCAATTGAACAGCATCGCAACGTTAAAGGTTACTATCAAGATGATGATGACAATATTGTCTTTGAAGATTTCGCTAAAATGCGTATGAATAACGTCGATATGATGGATTAAGTTCCAAAACATATCAATGCTAACAATTACGGTTCCCATTTAAATATATCCTTTTTAAAAATGCTTTTAAAAGCGGCTCGTGTAAGGAAAGGTACAGATATTGGACACGATTTTCATCTATTGCGTATTATAAATGCGTTAATAAAATAACTTTTAAAATTTACAACACAAAATGAATCGTTAAGTATTTTGAATTTGATTTGTTCGCAAAAATAACTCACCAAAATATCCAAAAAATTATTTATTTCTGTAGATATTTTCTGGTTTAAAATATTTTTTCTTTAATTAAACTTTTTTTTATATCAAATTTTTTCTGGAATGGTTGTGATAAGTACCAGCTGAAACAGTTGAATGAGCTGAAATAGCCTTTAACTCCATTCTTAAGAATACTTTATATGTGAACTTCTGTCTCGCTGAGCTTAATGAAGGGTTAAAAACTGCATCATTTATCCCTCACTACAAAAAAAATTATCAATAAACAAAAGAAACAAAGTTCAACCCTTAACTTAGATTTCGCCGAAGTTCTAACCAATCATCAGCGAGAGGTGTAAACATTTTAATATAATACTAATGAAGAATAAAACAAAGCGGTCAGTTATTTGATCAGCCCGCTTTTCCTTCATATTATTTATTATATTATGGAAAAGAACTTTCCCTTACTAAAATATGCAAATAAATTTCTTTTAAAATCTTCTCATTAAAAACTTAAAAATTAAGGTTAAGGTACCATTGCTTTTTATGTAACTAAAAATGTATGTAAAAAGGCTACTGCCTAATAATACATCAACTGATGCATTGGCTATAAGCGAAAATGAAGTCGGAAAAATAACTTTTTCCCACTACTGAGATATATTATAAGTCCGAAAACACTTCGCGTCCTCTTTTATACCCTACACCACTTGTAGTACAGCGGTATATTAAGTTTGAACGAATGTATGCAATATCCAGAAGGACTTAAGATAGACTTACATTTTATCGGAACCACTTTCTGAATCGATTTAAGCTTGCCTGTCTGCCTATTTGTATGGTTTTCTGGCGTTTAACGTACGACGTTTCAGCTTATGGACGAACACTATTAAAACGTTTCGTATCGGACAACTTTTTCGACTACTTCCCGGAAAATGGTTTCTTTTAAAATATCGTTATATGAATAACGGTAGAGTGATGTAGGGTACTTAGCAGCGGCCCGTGGCTCACTATAGTGCTTTTACATAATTTTTTATACTAACGACTCAAATTTCAACAAGTATTAGAAAATGTTTATGAATTTATTCCTCTAAAATTCTCACTTCACAGATCGCTCAATTAGTCGACTTGCTTATATCTGTACTTACATGGCTAACTGATACTTTGTTATGAATTTTGACAAAAAAGGAGCAAAATTTTTCATTGAATTATTTTTTAAAAAATATCACATCACAAACAAACACATCTACAGTTTTTTTTTTTTTTTTTCTATGACCGCTTAAAAGTGTGACACGGTAATGACCACGAAAGGCTATAGGAAGAGTGGGGTGAGGAAAGGGAGTAGTGTTTGTGAACTTTCGATTTGTAAATGAAGACATCAGGTTCCAAAGGTGGACAATTTACGACATATAGCAAATATCGGCCTGAAAACAACCAGCCACTTAAGTGCCCCGGACAAGAATGGTCCGTATCAGCTCTTTATTAGCTTTACAATTTCACGCCAACCATTTAGCGTGATATGCCTTAAGATGAACATGTCTTTGCCAATGCTTATGTGTACAGAGTTATCAGTAAGTCGATTAAGGCTATTTTCGAAAACAATTTTGTTTTATGCGGCACCTACAGATAAGAAGTTCCAGACCGATATCAATTAGGATCGTAAGTTGATTTAGTAAATAAATTATTGAGGAAAATATTTTCGAAAGAAATTTCTGTCTTTAGAGATTAGCTCTGATTAACCCTTTGCACTCGAACGGCGTCCGGGAGGCGCCGTTACTATTTTTGAGGATATTGTACGTTAAATTGTGCACGCGTTGTAAATTTTCTTACTTGGTGTGAGATTAGCCCGGTATATATCAGATAGCGGACACTTAGATCATTCAGTCTTAGATCATTATAGCGGTTCTGGCAAAATCGTAGCAAAATTTTTAGTGCTCTGCTAGGTGATAGGCACTGATAGGTAAAATCGAAACAAACTAATAAAACTACTTCGACAGGGAGCACCATCAACAAATTAGAGAATATCATTAAAAGATCCGGCAAAAAAATTAAAATGTTATGGGTACCTAGTCATATCGGTTTATTGGGAAATGAGCGGGCTGATCGTGCGCAGAAGTCTGCTGCTTCTGCACCTTTAGTTATGGATGATGTCATGGAAAGGTTGGATTTTCAAAGGTACATTGGAAGAAAAGTTAAAGAGAAAATTACAGAAGGAAATCTACAATACCATCACTAGCACTACTCTTTTATTAACCGTCAATTAACTCCACCTTTATATACAAAAAATGTGGAGAAAATCAAGATCCATACACTTTCGAGAATTCGCCCTGGTCATACAATTGCAAATCAACAATGGGTCTTGAAGAAGTCTTCCTCCTCAATCTGCAAATGTTGGCAAATTCTCACTCTAAAACACATTCTCTGTGACTGCCTTAAGTTTACCTTGGCTAGAAGTATTGCATGTGGAACGATTAACCCTACGAACATTCTACAATCAGCTACAGAACAGAATATTAATACAATATATTACTTTATTAAAACTTCTAGGCTCAATATCTAGTGCACTTTTATAAATTATATCTGATAGCCTGTGTTGCTAGTGCTCAATGTCTTTTTTTTAGTCTAAGTATTTATTTCATTAGTCTAAAATTATAACAATAATAATAATAATAATACTGTCGGGTAGCTGAGTACCCATACTAAAAAATAGTGGTCTCTATTTCCATGTGAAAAAGAGTAGCTTTTTTTGCAATTCGAAAGATGTCGATATCAAGCATAAGAAAGCTTTTTATAATGATTGGATGTTTGTTTTGTAAGTTCTACGATGTGTTATAAGTTAATAAACATTACTAAAAATTGTATTAGCGGACCGCTTTCGAATGCAACGGAGTTTCACTTAGTTATTAATATAAAAAGATTTTCATTTTTTTTTTTTTTTTTTTTTGCTTTCTATGAAACCGCAAATTTCCATTCGTTGACTTTTAACTTCCGGAGTTTGGTGTTATTATAAATGTAAACGTTTTCTAAGGAATGTAAATAGTTTTTGAACAAATTTCGTATATTGCAGACTTTATCATTAAAAAAAACATGTCCATAGATATGATCTTCATATTGATGAGAAGTCTTCTCGTCATAGTTGGCGTAGGGAGTTTCACTGGACAGCAAATAGGAACTGAAAGAAGTAATTATGCGGTAATAAGTACGGATAATAAAACTCGGGAAATCGGGAATGGAACATTAACAAAACCTTATTGGAAACAAAACGATGATCAAGTAGCCAAACTCATAACGAAAGTGAAGTACAAGATGTCAACATCGCAGCCTACAAATGTGGCAAAATTAACTCAAAAAATAACAACAACAATGCTCCCCGAAATACATTCTTATAATAGTTACAAACAACACTTGCCGTTGGATTTAAATAAAAAGTTGAAATTTATAATCGAACCATTATCGTTCTATAAGCCGGGAGTTGTGTCTGATGCCTTAAGTGAAGCCGACAATGAGCAGTATACAAGAACTCATACACGAAATGATGTCAAAATGAATAAATTGCCGAATAATATTGATTCGAATAATACCCGGTCTATGGAACGGCCAAAGAACAGAAATTTAAATCATTTAAATCATTTAATTTATGGAAAAACAAACTCAGCTGAAAACGCCACCCGAAAAGAATTATTATCGACTGAATCGAATGATTCACCCCTCTCGCATATTCCCGTTTATTCGTATAGTAATCGTATTTACCATCAAGTGGATCAAAAGCAAACGCAACAATTTGAGCAGCCACAGAGTTCTTCTTTGGATTATATTGATTTCTTGCATAATCAAAGACGAGAAAGGAGTCCTAGAAGTGCTTTCTACGATTATTTCATTTCCAATTACGACGATAACAATAACATGGATGACGACATTGTTAATACAAATGATGAAGATAATGATTTCGAAGAAGCTCAACAAATACGTTCTTGGAGGTAAAAGCTGTTATCGTTGCAACAACTTCTTTTTTTTATATTTCAGTTAATTTTTTGTTATGGTTTACTACTAGCGATGTTTTCATAAATTATAAAAATCCCCATCACGTAAATTTTGGTCACATTGAACACCGGCCGCGGTGGTTTGAGAGAAGATTTCAAACCATTAAAGATGGCAATCGTTTCAAGGGCGAGGTGCGGTTACAAAATTTAATATTTATTGTTATTGAACCTCTTTTCACAAAAATAACACAAAAAAAAAATTTGACTTTTTTATCATTCAAGGTAATATGGTCGAATGACAAAAACGATTATGCTGAACATTATTGGGATTTGGCGGTCGGAAAACTATGAATTTTAAACGTGACCTTTCATTATTTTAAAGTATTTATTTCATTGAAATAAAGTCTACTCACTGCAATTGATATAAAAAACTTGAAAATGCTTTCCTAAAGAAAATACCAGGCAATCGCTTATTTACCTTCTGCACGGAAATGATCATCTCTAAGTGTAAGGAATATAACAATGACACTAATTTTCTCACGTCTATAAACATGGTCAATCTGTTTTTACTCTTTTTAGATCTTCTCTATGTTTCTTCTCTCTTTCTTCCTCATTCTTTCTCTTTGTCTATCTCACCCTTTCTCACTTTGTTCGTCTCCCTTATGACCATTTATCTGAAGAAAATTTTTGCTAAACTATGTAAAACTTATTTTAGTAAAGTCTACGGTGCATCATCATCACTATAGATCCCGCCTGAGAAGAAAACCAGTTTCTACAGAAAAAGTAGTGTAGTTGAATGTTGTTCAAAGTTGAAGGGTTTAATTTCACTTTATAGTACCTTGATGTAAGTCGAAGACACTTTACCTTAAGGTTAAGGGGTAGTTTCGCCAAGAGCTCGTTCATATATCAGATGTAGAATTTTACATACACACAATTACTTAACAACGCATATAAAATTAATGACCATTTCAATTTTGATCTTGCTTGTTTATCATTATGACAGCTGTGTCCGTTTCTTTTTTCTATTACTACGTAATGACCATCAGAGGTCAACATTTTTGTTTATTTCTCAGTACATGTTACAGCTGTTGACTATCTTTTTCGTTCTTATCTTTGTTGCCGTTATTATTATTTTTATTATTATTGCTGTTATTGTAAGCGATCAGCAACATAGATCACCTAAAAATATCATCAGGAATAACTGATGTCAAGGCATGTTTATATTCTTTATGTTTGTGGTGGTGATCCTACGTCCATAACCGGTTTAATTTAAGGTCATTTAAGGTTTTTTGTTTTATTTTCTAAGCAAATATTCATTATCAACCCTTTTCCCATGATTTGTATAGCAGAGATGCTGTTGGTGCTGGTAAATCACTTAATGTATGCGAGGACATTGCAAAAAGACACTTTTCAGCAAAAGCAAACCGATAAGAACCAAATTTCGAAAAGATACTGAAGATGTTGTTTTGCTTGATTTATTTTCTGAGAGAATTGGAAATTTTCCCACTGTTTGCATTTATGTAAGAACAACGATTTTTAACCGGTTTGACCGGTCCATTCTAAGTTCAAAACAAATGGTCACCAAGAGCAATAATAATAATAATAACAATAATAATAATAGGAGACAAGAAATAAATGAAGAAAGTAAAGAAGGAAAATAAAGGGTTTCAGACATTCACAAATACAAATATAAAATTTAAGAAAAATTTTATTCAGAGCATATTTTCACGAAGAGATACGTAAACGTATGTAAATGTTTATATTGCATGCACGAATATGCGGACAAAGGCGACGTTGTGATCTTGTGGCATGTATTTTACTTACTATTCCAATACTTACACAAAAATATGTACATAAAGATTTTTAGCAGTAGTTGTTACTCTGCTCTGTTTCAAATGATCACAAATTTACACGAATGAATGAATGAATGGATGAATTAACGGATGAACGAATGTACGAATGTATTAATCAATAATAATGAAAATAACATAAAAAGTTTTATAAAACATTTCTCTGTTATTCGCTATTTTTCTTTGTTATTAAAACTTATAACTAGTAACAAGTATATGGATTGGAATAATTTTCTAAACTTTTCCATGCAAAAGTATGAATGAACTGAGGGTACGCTTATTTGTTTAATTTAATTTTTTTCATAATATTGGGACTTTATAGCATAATCTTGTGCTGCCTTTGAATGATGACGTAGCAGACCTTGTGGTGCTGGTGTTGGTATCTTCACTACAATATCAGTCGGTTCTCTTATCACTTCGGCTTTGAAACCTTCCTTCGGATCAGCCGTATACTTAACAGTACGTATAAAACCATCGGAATCTACCACCGAATAGCTGCCCTTGATGACACCACCGTCACGGACTTCTTTGCGATTTTGATAATTAGTAAATTCATCATCTTTCACGTCAAACCCGAATTGATATGAAGAGTTTTGCTGAAATAATTAATATATCATAATAACAACTCATCAATATACATCTCATAATTATCGCAAAATCATCTCAAAATGATGGCAAGTCAAATACATATGTATAATGTGTATGCAAAATATTTGAGCATTTTACGGCGATGTCGCCACTTGATAAATTCTCAAATAAATCGTTGACTTATAAAGAGAATTAAAGCAATTAAAATATTTATATTCGTCTTGTAGCGAACCTTGAGAAATTTACGATGTAAATCAATAAATTTATTTAATACATACAATACGTAGTTGACTTGTGTTCTGAGTAGCGCGTGTTTTCTTTTCGTCTGCGATTTTTTAATCATTTAGGTGATTTTGTGTATTTAGCTCGTGTCTTTTCAGTGTTATTGCTAAAACTGGTAATCGCGGATATCGCGAATACTGCATGTGCTATTGTTTCCTCTAAATAAAATAAAAAAATAAAATAAAAATTGAAATAAAAAAATTGAAAACAATTGACATTTGGCTTTAGTAGTTCCCGATCTATTTCCAGTGAATGGTCTTTTACCAAATTACTATATAGTAGACAACCATAAGGCTTAATAGCCCCGAAGCCGCCAGATGAAAACTCAAATACATTTCATCTTTTAGCGGACATATCTCCGCAAAGAAAAAAAAATTAAAAGTTCGGTCTTTCCGGTGTTGCCAATCAGTAACATCACTCCTACGGACAAAAACTATGTTGTTATTTCTTCAACTGATGCAAGCACACAAATCAGTCCTTTTGCTATAAAAAAAAAGCCCTAGAAAGCATTACGACATATATACACTCTATCTCGATTCTACGCGATGGGAATTTACTTGTCCTCGCTGGGAACCCGCGCGCACCCGAAAACCTCATAAAGTCGAAATCATTAGCTAATTTATGTCCTATTTCGGCTAAATTACATGAAAAACTGAACTCAGTTAGAGGCGCAATTTATGCTCCGTGCTTAAAGCATGTGCCGGAAGAATAGTTAGCGAAATGGGCAATCAAGGAGTGACCGAAGTCCATATATTCACTAAATTAAATGACGACGGAAAGATCCGATCTCCTACAGGAAGGATTATTATAATCTATGATCGCCATCGGTTACCGCAAACTGTTGATGTGGCTTGGTATAAATGTAAAGTGGAACTCTACATTCCAAATCCCATGAGATGCAAAAACTGCCAATGCCTGGGTCGTGCTGCTAAAAAATGCATTAATCCACCATCTTGTACTGACTGTGATCTTCCTACACATGCTGAAAGTTGTCCCCGTAGACAAACAATGCCAGCGTTATGTACAAGTGCGTGAAATTCTAAAAATCCAAACAGAAAATTACTGTAGCAAGGGCGGAGCGCGACACAACTGCCGGGAAATAAATCCATCTGGAACCCAAAGAATTAATAAGAGTAATACCTACGCTGCTGTGGCCTTGCAAGTCGAGACTAATAAGCCTTTAACTCCAACTACTACCAATGACGAACCTGCTCTATCATCATCCAAAAGCGGTATTGAGATACCAGATACATCACCCGTCAAAACTAATAATGGAAAAATTAAAGCTACAACAAATATTGCAAACAATTGAATCAACAACACGCATCCTACAGCCTAATAAACTAAATATCCCAGAATTTCAATTCCATTCAACAAATTACAAGTTGTAATGAATCCAATCCTCCATGCAACAATAAACATTCAATTTCAAATTATTCGCTTCATACGTACGCAACCATCTAAGTACCGATTATTCTGCTGCAAATAATTCACACAAAATTTCTATAGTGAAATTTTTCGACGGACACGTTGACATGTCAACATCATCTACCTATCACTCCGTTTTCATGTCACTAGAATTAAGTAAAGTTTTTAAAATTCTACAATTGAACATTAAGGGACTTATTAATAACTTTGATGAACTTCACACAAGTGATTTTAACCCAACCTTTATATCCCTTCAAGAAAAGCATAGTAGAGGTTCCTTTAATCCTTTCTCCGTAATTTAATTTATTCTTTATTTATATGTGGCGACTTTAACAGCTGGAACCATCTGGGGCTCAACAGGAAACAACAGTTGTGGTACTGTTTTGGAAAAGGCCTTCATTCAACGCAATCTCTGCTTTTTAAATGATGGAAGACCAACGCACTTTTCAACCCATCACACCTTTTCATATATTGATTTAACATGTTGCTCTCCGTCACTTCTTCCTATGATTTCATCGTCTATTTCTAATGATCTACAGAATAGTGATCACTTTCCAATCTTAATCGATCTTACACTTTCGAAGTCCTCTGTTACTCCGGCAAAACAAGTTAAATTCGTTCTAGATAAAGGGGATTGGATTAATTACTCCAAACACGTCGAGTTGTTCCTCAATTTAAAGCCATTTAACGGGAAATTCAATCATGGTTCTTTTATTATGACTAAGTCCATTTGCACGGCTGCTCATCTCTCTATTCCTCAGTCCAACAGCTTCTTTAAACGAGCTGGGCTTCCTTTGTGGGACAACAGGCTTTCGTTATTGTGGAAAAACAAAATGGATCTATGGCACCGCTTTAAGAGATGACCTAATCATGATCATTTTTTGTTATAAAAAAACGCTAATGCTCTATTCAGGATGGAACAACGAAAATGAAAGGTACTCAGTTTTACATTTGTTTCAAAAAGAATTCACAAAAACACATCAACAAAAGTTGTCTGAAACAAAATCAACAGACTCAGCGGGACATCAAATTCGAATGAAATTTCTGCCATCTGCACTCCCAACGGAACTTTGACAGCAATTTCCCCAGTGCTTTCATCGAAAATAAAATAACTGCAATTTCTCGTTCGAATGCTATTGACAGATGTGCCATGTCTCTGGAAAATTTTGTGTCTACCTTAGATCTTAAAAGTTGTCACTCCAAATCGAAGATGAGAACGCCTGGTGTAGATCGCATTTCATATCAAACGATCAGTGCCCTGTCTAATTCAAGTAAAAAAAAATTACTGGACTTATGTAATACTATTTTTTTGACTGGCCACATTCCCTACATGTGGAAACTCGCGGCAGTTGTTCCAAATTCAAAGCTTAAAAATGTCCCCATAGCATCGGAATGTCGCCCAATCTCTCTGATATCTTGCCTCTCAAAAGTATTAGGAAAGATTAAGACATCTAGATTATCTTGGTTTCTTGAGTCCAAGAACTTGATTACAAGGCAACTAGTTGGTTTAGGGCGGTGTAGAGGCTGCATCGACGCTCCTTTACATATTGATTATTTTACCAAAGCAAAGCAATATCCGAACGAAATCATGTAACAATTCTCTCAATTGATTTCGAAAAAGCAAGTAGCATCTTCATACTACTTTAAAGCTCTTGAAATCATGGAATGTTGGAATCATTCATGTCGCATCGGCGGTTCAAAGTTAGAATTAACGATCATCTCTCAGATTCCTTTCCTCCTCTTTCTGTCACGCTTTTCCAGATCGCTTTCAACGAAATTAGCAAAATTCTTTGCCCTGTATCAAGAATCGAACATTATCTCTATGCTGACATTTATAGAAAAGAAAAAGATAACACGAAGGCAATCAACATCCTCGAATCTATTGGACAAGAGAGCTTCACATGGTCAAACTCGTCAGAGGCTATAATTTCTATGCAAAAATCAAAAATAAATGCACATTTGTCGAAAGCAGATAGGCGATGTAGGCAATTTTCTCATGCATATTAATGACCAACCGGTACTAAACGTGCAGACGCTCAATATTCTCCGGCTCACGTTTTCCAACAAATATCGTTGGAAAACACACTGTTTTCGGTTAAAAAACTCTATTTTAACAAGGGTGAATTTCACATAGTACGTTGAGTGGAAAAGCCATGCGCACATTAACACTATTGCTTATCTTACCAAAATGCTTGTTTTAAGCAAAATTGACTATGCTTTGATAATTTATCGTAATAGCTGCAAACCTAATATCAACATTCTTAAACCAATCTATCACCAAGCCCTCAGAGCAAGTTGTTATGCTTTTAGGACGAAGCTGGTCGTTCCCTGAAACTTGTCTCCAAGCTTCTTAATTCAAACAAATCTATTCTCGGTGAAGACGTGAAAAAGATTATTATTGCCAAGAAAATTGGAAAATCATTATCTGTTTGTACGTCGCAAAGGAATTGAACATTCCCTTAAAAGTGTTCCGCTATTTTGGTGTTAAACATCCACGGATTTTGAAAGACTGCTCTTTTGTCATTTCGCTGTCTATGCACAAGAAAGTAGATACTCCAAATTGCGTCTTCAGGAATTTGATAGCTGAAAAAACCCAAGTACTGGAGAGTAACGATTGGAATCTTTTATACACAGACGACTCAATATCTTCTAGTCTGCCACCTGCTCGTGCAGTTGTGCAATTGTGAGCAAATTCTCACTATAAAACACATTCTCTGTGACTGCCTTAACTTTACCTGGGCTACAAGTATTGGATTTGGAACGATTAACCGTACGAACATTCTACAATCAGCTACAGAACAGAATATTAATACAATATATTACTTTATTAAAACTTCTAGGCTCAATATCTAGTGCACTTTTATAAATTATATCTGATAGCCTGTGTTGCTAGTGCTCAATGTCTTTTTTTTTAGTCTAAGTCTTTATTTCATTAGTCTAAAATTATAATAATAATAATATTTAATACATATAAATTTTTTTTAAATTTTTTTTTAAAGCAAATTAATTATGAGTAAATATATTCTTTGAATTTTCGAAATGTTTTCAATTTTCGGTTTTTTTTTTCCTGCAGTTATTTTATAGAATTTTAGCACTGTTATTGTCAATCGCAGCTATTATCCATTTGCCTACGATATTAACGAATTTCATGATAATTCTAATGACAAGCAGAAAAATAAGCAGACGGATATGATAACTTATGACAGTTATTATTATGTATTGTAGAAAATAATGTATAATATATAATGTATAATATTTCACATTTTTTGTTCAATCCACAGTCTCTTTTAAACTTAAT